TTGTAAATAACAAAAAAAAGCAAAATTAGATATTTTAAAGGAAAAGGATGTTCTCCCAGTGTTTATTAGAGCCTGTTATCTTTAAAGTTTAAAAAGCAGTCACCTAATAGGATTCACTTGAAACTTTATGTTTTCTGTACCACTTTCTAGTTGTTTCTTTAGTTCATGTAATGAGGGCAGTTTAAAAAAATGGAGAGCCCTTGATCATTGAACGATTAGGATAGAAGTTACCTTAGCATAAGTGTATTGAGATAAATTCTAACTTATAAAGAAAAATTATGGCAAGAAAATAAATCAAATGATTTGCTGCCTATAAAAATCATGTAACATTTTATCACTTTAGCTCATTGAATTTTTTTAAGTCTTTAAAATGAAAACTACATCCCAATTCAGTTGGTAAAATGAAAAGAATCACTGCTTATTTGTTTTAAGTGACTCTTTAAGATAAACTGGGTGTGTAGTTAAGTTTTCCTTTTTTCACACTATTTGTTGAACTCTTTACTTAGTATAGGGTTATTCTTATGTGCTAAAGTTAATTGAAAATAGATCTTTGTAAAAAATAAGAATGGGCATAGGAGAGGGAGGAGGAAGAAGGGCGGGAGTGTGGGTAGGGTGGGAAAAATCAGTGTTCCTATATTTGTGTTTAGGAAATACATGAAGTCTGTGTACCTAAATAAAAGGTTTCTGGAGGAAAGAAAAAAAGAACGAATCCAATAAAGCACAGTCTTAAAATTTTTTTAAAAAAAGTATAGTTGTATTTATTTTTGAATCTTTTTGTCATTATAATTAAGTTAATCTTCCTTTCGTTTGTTTTTGGGTCACAATGAAGAATGTCATAAATTCTCCATAATTAATATTCCACAGGAGAAACAACCAGCCAAACCCAGCTAATGGGATCACACTCAATTTGGGAAAGCCTTAGGATTATTTCAGTAAGTTCTTTTTCTTCAAAAATGTTTTATTGTGGAAAGTGCCAAGACTAACAGCCATCATCCGTACCCTTAGAATTTGTGGAGATTATGTGAGTTTTATGTAAGAGGGTCTTTATACATCTAGTAAATTATCTCATATTTTCCTATTGTATAACTATTAACATCTTCGTTGATTCTGGACCCAAGTTTGAAGTCATATTTTGATTCAAATACTTACTTTATAAGCTTTATGAGCTGTCTGATCTTAGCTACTCCGTTTCTTGGCAAAAAAGACCTACTGCCCAGAATATTCTGAAGATTAACTGAAATATCCCATTGAAAGTATTGCCTATATGACTGGATTATGGCAGGGAGACAACAAGTGTGAACTTTCAAGTTAACTTCTTAGCTTTTGTAGATTATGTATTTGATAAAAGATTAAGTACTGAACTTAATATAAATCAGAAGTAATAATGAAGATTACTTCTGCATTTCTTAAATTATTGTATTACTTTATAAAGCCATTCCTTTTTCACCTTTTTGTTGGCAGACACCTTTCATGCCCCAGATATGGTACAAACCTGTAGTGTTACATTAAAAACCTAGCTGTTCTCCACTCCCACTGCCTGTATCTCCACCACTTTTCTTCTTTAATGAATGAACACCTATTAACTCCAAGTGAGTTAGTGTTATGGAAGGCAATGAATATTGCTATGAGAGCACTACTTAGTTGAAAACACTTAGAATTTTGTTCTTATGTACATTTTAGCTTTCTGCTTTTTGTAAATTTTTTCTAATGGACTGAGGTTTAGAGAAAATATCAGAATATGGCTATTATATTTCTAATTGCCAATAACATACAAATAGAAGATTTATATTTTTGTATAAAAATGTTAAGCAATCTATTATTCTAGAAAAAAATGTATTATTATAGTATTACATTCTGATATAAATAAATTTCCATATTTGGAATATTGAGCAAACTTAAAACTGGCATAGAATGATGGCATTATTTAGGCAAAGTATTAGGAATATGTGATTTTAAATAGTATAAGTAATTTTAAAGGGAAATATGCCACATGTACTCTTATAATTTACAAGATAACTTTCAATACCCACCTTATTTTAAACAGTATCTTTTTATGGGTGTTTTCAACTGAAACAGTATTTTCCAAATGTAGGTAGAAAACCAAAGTTGAGGGCTTGTTTTGATTGAAGCTGCTTTTAAAGTAATTTTGACTAAAAGTGTTTTTCTCAAAATGTCCAAGTAATCTAATTTTATATATGTACATGGCAAATATTTTCTTATAATTATTTATACAAAAGTACTACATAATGAATTCTCATCTTACATAATATTGTATACATGAATATAGTTTAAGATGTTTATTTAAAACACCAGATAATGCTAGTATAGTTCTAGATTTCTTACAAAATTAAATAGCTGTAGTAATTAAATAGTCTGGTCCAAAATGAGTTATATAGCTAAGAACATTGTTAACTGACTTTCTTCAATCTAAGAACATCAGTGTATAAGAAAATCAAACTTTCCAACTGAAATTCTTAACTAGTAAAAATACATAAAATATGATACTCTAAATCTTCTGAGTTTTTTTTTCCCAAAAGTTTTACTGAATCTATTCTTCCTGTACCCACACAGGAAGTTTAGTTACCCATTTTGGGTAGTGTAGCTACCCATTTGGTTTTTAAATTCTCAAACTGAAAACTGTTTTAAGGATAGTAATTGCAAATGACAAGACTGAAAGCAACAGTGATATCTGGAAGCTGACTGCATAAAGTATCACTTTCTTGTGATACTTGCTGGTATACTGTAGGAGCTTTATATAGAAAAGAACCAAAAAAGTCAGTAGTTGAGATGTTACTAAGTTTGCCCAATAAAATGTATCAATCATTATTGCAATATAGTTTTTAAATTATTTTGTGTATTTCCTATGATCATAGGAAGTTTATGATTATTTTAGGAAAGACCTTGAGAAATGTAGGCACATGCAATTATATCTACACATATGTAAATGGAGTTAAGAATGCACTCAACAAAACAAGAATACTCTCCTTTCAGGGGGCATTTTTGTTTCCATCCCATCCTTCAAAGGAGAAGACTGAGATGGCATGGCCATCAGAGAATGAGCAGGTCCATCCCATCATAAGGCAGCCTAGTCATCTCCATGGCAACGGCCCTCAATAAGTTAAAAGGCAACTAGATCCACAAACAGAAAAAGTTTTAAGACTACTGAGCACTACTAATTCCTTTCCTTAAAGTGCAGAGCTGGCCAAACAATTTAGAATTCTCCAGAGCAAAGGTTGAGCCTTTCACTCTTTCGGAATTGTCAGCTTTGCCACAAATACTAAGTTGGATAGCTATTCTCAGAAAATGAATGAGATAAAAGGGGCAGAGCTCAGAAATCTTTCTCTGCAATATACTTCCTTTTACAACAAATAAAGAGATGATTTTAAAACAAATAGAGGGTGTTGAAGAAGAACTCTTAAATCAATCTGGGCATTTTGGTTTTAAAAAGTGGGGGTGAGCTGACAAGAAGGGAACAGTAATAAAGAGGGTAGTAAGAATTCCTTTCTCCAGTCTGAAATCTGTTAAGATCATAATTTCCCAAATGCATTATTTGATTATCATTCTGCATTTAAAATTCATTTAGAAAGGATGGCTTCTAATGGTGCTACTTGAGGAAGAGTCACGAAGACAGGGCACGGTCTGACTTCAGGTGAGGGCACAGAGATTGTTGTACTGGCTGAGGGTGACCCCATGGTCCCTTTTTGCCTTTAGGATTTTGATCAGGAATGACCTGGCTACTGTGCCAAGTTCAGAAGTCAGAGCTGCAAGGTTCTTTAGAAACCAGACAATAACCTAGTTCCCTCCTCTCCCTGCATGCACCTCTCCCCTGCTGATTGCCAACTCTCACCCAGTTTAAATGCACCATACCCTTTACCACCCCAAGAGTATCGAACAGATAAATACAGACCTTGTGTACTGACCATAGTAGAGAGAAAAACAAAATTAGAACTACTGGTTTTTGTCTGGTGGTTTAACCTACCCCTCCTCCCAGCCCCCAACCCTTTGTGTGTGAGGACTCCCCTTCAAAGCACCCACAGACCGAGCATACGAGAATAAACGGTAATTTTTGGTTTAAAAGTTCACTTACCACAGCAACCTCATATTGCTTTGTCATGCTTTTTGCACTTAATTTTTCAAAACTGCTTGTGCAGGGCGCAGAACTGGGAAGGCAGGACTAAAGTATCTCTAGTAATCACAACAAAAAGGAGAGAACATTTCACCAATCGGAATTACATATAAATACACAATCAAACCCCAGAGCTAGAGGGAACGGTTCAGACTACACCATGGAGGGGGAGGGGGTGGGAAAAGCCAAGCTAACAAAACAAAAGGTAAAGGGGAGAGTTGAGTGGTTGGAGGGGAAATTGATCCAAGCCGCCTTTTGACCACCACCACCGCCGCCGCCCCCAGCACGCTAGGATTACCCGAGTGACTGCACTTGCCTCCAGCCAGCTCAGCTGCAGGAGACGAGAGCCCCGTCTAAGTTCACTAGCCCTGCCACAGTCTTCCACCGCCTGACGGATCCGTTCAGGAAAACACTTGCAGAGGCATCCACCCGCTTGAGGTCTGGGCTTGGCTGCTGCTGTGGGGCTGCTGCCGCCGGGGTGGCTGCGAGCAGCTGCTAGGATCTTCGCTGTGTCGTTCCTGCCTCATTCGCGCTGCACAATAGCCCCGGCTGGGTGCACCTCATTAAGCCAGCTCGAGAGCCCCAGGAGCAGGGCAAGCGGTGTGACAAGCGCTGCCCCTTTGTAATGACTGTGATGGATGCAACCGAAGGGTGGGGTCTGGGTGGGTCAAAACTGTTAATGACAGTATGTATCATTCTGTCTGTCCGCCAGGAGAAGGAAGCCCCCTGCCCTCCCCTAGGACGGTCTCTCTCTCTCTCTCTCTCTCTCTCTCTCTCTCCCCCCCCCCCCCCGACTTTCCTCCTTCTTTTCCCACCTCCCTGTGGCACTTTCTGCTGCAGTCGGCGTTCAAATCACTATGAAAACCATCGGGTCGTTTCCAACTGGACAGATGACAGAATTTACGCAAAACACTTAAGGAAGGAGAAGGTCCTAAACTCGAAAAGTGCCGACCAAAGGGACGAAAAAAGCCGGGCTGGGCTGGGGGCAAGTGGGGAGCGGGCAGGCCGCCGACTGGTCAATAGTTTGCATCTGTCGGTGCACCAGCACCAACTCTGCGCGGCACCGGCCGGCACGGGCCGGCGCACCGCGTCTCAGCGAGCGCACGCCGGCGCCTAGGGGGCAGACCGCGGGGTGAGCAAGTGGAGGAAGCTGCCCAACCCCAGCGGAAACGGCAAGAGGCCCCGAGACGGCCGGCTGCCAGTGAGGGAGGAAGCCTGCACCCAGACAGCCCACCCGACCCCATGGGGAGGAGCTGCCATCGCGCGGGGGCGAGTTTCAGGGCTCGAGACGGCCGGTTCGGGCGAGGGCCGCTGCCCCGCGGCCGTTGGGTCCCCCTCGGACCGACGCTCCTGTCCCTCCTCAGAGCTCTGAGCTCACAGGTGCGCAGCAAAGCCCCTGCCGCCAGCGCTAGCCGCCCCCCACCGCTTCCTCTCCCCCGCCCCTCCCCCGGCCAGCACCCCCTCCCTGTCTCACTCGGCCTGGGGCTCCCTGTGACTCCAGGTTGCCCCCAGAAGGCAAAAAAGAAACATTTTTCCTTTCACCCTTCGTGGGGAGTTTTGGTTCTCTACTTCACCGCCTCCCGGTTTCCGATACCGCTTGAAAAGGTTGGCGTATACTTGTTTTTCCCTTTCAAATTTGTTGGTGGTCCCAAGAACCTAGTTCACAGGCGTCCGTTTTTCATTTGTAGAAAAAGCCATACAGAACATTTTATTTCTCTACGTGGACAGATAGACTTATTTCACACTCAACTTCCATTTCAACGTACTGGGCTGCTGACGCTCTGGATGCGCTTTGCAAAGCACCTTCCAAACATCCTGAGCCGTTCTCCAGAACCGCCAGGAAGGCATTCACTGTGTTTATTAGAGTTTATGGAGCACCACTTCTCGACACTGTGCAATCAACTATTATGTTTTTATTGTGGATGCCTTATAGCAGCCAAGAGAAAGCAAGTAGCAGAGAGAAAACAGGGCATTTATGTCTAATGAAGCATCTCTCCCATTTTATGCCTGCTATTTATTTATAATTTAAAATTTGTGTATATAGGTTGTGCAACCTGTTCTAGGCCATGGGAAGGCACTAAAGACTGTATGCTGCACCCCAAAGAGCTACTGATCCACAGGGAAGGTAAAAGATCCAGGGGCTCTTAATAGCTCCTCCTAAGAAACCACTTTTAACGGGAAGGAGAGACCTAGGCAGAGGACTGACCTCCTGGGGGTCCTTCAGGTTGTCAACCTTCAGGGCCACAAAAAGTCTTCCCCACCCCTTTTTAGAAAATCAAGTTGCTTATGAGAGGAGGAGGGAGAGGAAGAAAGACAGCTCAGTTCACTCCCCAAATGCTTGCAACAGCTGGGGCAGGAACTCCATGGCGTCTCTCACGTGGGAGGCAAGGATCCAACTATTTGAGCCATTACCTGCTACCTCCCAGGGTGTGGATTGGCAGGAGGCAGGAATCAGGAGAAGAACCAAGACTCAAACCCTGGCACTCTGAAAGGGTATGTTGGTGTCGCAGCCAACCTCTTAACCTCTAGGTCAGATGCCTGTCCACCACACCCCTGTTTTTAACCAATTACTTTTCACAGTTCTATGCTTCGAAGGTAGTAGCAGGTTTCTGTTCATATATGTCCTAGAATTAAATATAAAGGCATGGGGTTGGATGGAGCTAGGTGGAGGGAAGACTATTTGGAAGTAGTGAGATCTAAATTAATTGCCTAATTTATTGACTGACAGTAATAGCAATTTTGCGTAGATGAAATCCTTTTTTCTTGATGAAATCCTTAGAGATTTACCTTTTTGCATACAAATTCTCTTTAGAATTCTATATATTTACATAGAATGTAGAATTATATGTAAATTGTTCATGTAAATAGTTCTCTTAAGAGGCATCTGAAAACTACTTTGGTACATTTCCCTTTTATATTGTTTTACTAATAGTTTGCATTAAGTGTATAAAATAATTGGAATCAGAGATAGTGAATGGATTTTGCAGTCCATTATTTGTAAGCATAATAACAAGCCAAAAAGATTTGTTATTGTTAAAACTCTCTATTTCCTCAGTACCTGGATGGGCAAGATACTAAACACTATTCTGAACACCTTCTGAATGAAAGCTACTAAGGTATTTTTGAACAAATAGCTCATTACCTGACTGGACAAGTTTGTTTGTTGTTTCCGAAATTGTCTTTTCAACTATTTTGAACCCATCCTGGAAAGCATCCAATTTAATAAGTTTGTTTTTCTCTGATCTACCTTTCTGCTTTTCTACCCTATAACTTTGTTTATAAAGGGAGGGAAAATGAAAAGAATGGGAATGCCAACTAACGGAAGAAAGGTATTTTCCTTGACACTTTGAAAGATAGATTAAAAGACAATGAATTTTGAAATTGGGTCTTTTAAAAAGCAAAAATTTTAAGATGTGATAAAAAAACCAACTCCAATAAGTATATGCATTAAATATATTAACCTTGTGAAACACAAGATTGCACCTGGGAGAAGTTAACACAGTTGGAGATTATTAAGACGTATCAACTCACTCAGCATTAATGAGAACCTGAGCCTAGTATGGAGCACAGTTGTACTGAATTGGCAAGAATTATACACTTAAATGTAAATCAGTGTTTTTTTTAGGAGATGAAAATACATCAAGCCCAAAGGAAAACTGTAGGCAGATTAAAAAAAAGAAAACTATCCTGCAAAAATGTTTATCCTACCAAAAGTTCCTAGCCCAGCTTTACAATAACCCATATAATAGTGTTAATACTACTTTGAAAACAGGCTGTTTAATACCTGAACAAAATAATATTTTCTATATTAATATAATTTTGTGCTTGATTTATTTTAGGCTTTGCTCTATCTGTGGAAGGAAAGGTAGAAGGCAAAATAGTTTCTTCGGCATACATTAAGGGCTACATTATAATCAATAAAAGCAAACCAAGTCTGGAAAATATATAAGCTAGGTATTAAAGAAGTAATTCACTACCTATAAATCTCCCACCAGTGGGTGACTGTTGAGTGTCCCGTGAGGGCTTCAGTGACTAATGGAATATAGTGGTTAATCTCAAGTGACCTTGGCTATCTCCTTTTAGAAACTGCACATCAAGTTCTGTTACATGTGAGAGCACAATCATTGTGTACAAATCCAGTAAGGATTTTACAGAATGCTCTTTAATGAGCAAGTATAATACTCAGTGTTTGGGAAAGCATTTATCTTCAGGCTGTTAATAATTTCTTTTTCTTTTATTTGAAAGAGAAATGAAGAGAGTATCTACTGGTTCACTCCCCAAATGCCTGAAGCCAGGAGCCAGGCATTCCATCTGGTCTCCCACATGGGTGCCAGGGACCCAAGTTCTTGAGCCATCATCTGCTGTCTCCCAGGATGTGCATTAGCAGGCAGCTGGATTGGAAGTGGAGTCAGGATTCAAACCAGTCACTAGGATGTGGGATGCGGGCATCCCAAGCAGTGATGTAGCTGTTTCACCAAAGGGCTTTCCCTTGTTACAATGTTTAAACCTGTGTTAGCAGGGTTTGGGGGATTATATAAAAATCCATTCCATTGTTATAAACTAGATGACTTGGTCAATTTCCTTAACCACTCTAGATCACACTCTATCTTTAGTAAATTTAAAAGAACAAGGACCAGATCCTACAGATGTGATGATTTAAAGATGCAAAATGTGAAAGCACACTGCCTATTGAAATATCAATCCATTTGAGTCAGATAGTGTAATTTGGCTTACTCAATACAAATTCTCAACCTCCTGCTTCCTTATCTTACTCTAATTTACAGATTGGAAAATGGAATATTTGATTTCTCAGTTTTATTTGCAACTAAAAGTGGTTGTTTAACAGCCCTGGCAACTTAAATACATATTTGCTGAAGGATTTTGTGGAAATACTTTTGCTTTCCTAATGAAAGAAGAATAGACACAGCAGTCACAATTTTTCCGCTTTTGCCCTACTGCCTTCTCCCTACTTGAAATCTTATCTGATGTCTGGAGATGGAGAAGCCATCTTCTCACTATGAAGCAATACATATGAGTTGAAGGCCGATTTTTGAGAAGTGTTGAAGAAAGATGAGAAGAACCTAGGTTCCTGATGGCATACTTGTCCTGCTCAATTAGTGGGGGACTGCTTACCTTCAGACTTCTTGTTGCACAAACATTCTTTTAAAAGTTTATGGAGGGGGCCCGCGCCGCGGCTCACTAGGCTAATCCTCCGCCTTGCGGCGCCAGCACACCGGGTTCTAGTCCCGGTCGGGGCACCGGATTCTGTCCCGGTTGCCTCTCTTCCAGTCCAGCTCTCTGCTGTGGCCAGGAAGTGCAGTGGAGGATGGCCCAAGTGCTTGGGCCCTGCACCCCATGGGAGACCAGGATAAGTACCTGGCTCCTGCCATCGGATCAGCGCAGTGTGCCAGCCGCAGCGCGCTGGCCGCGGCGGCCATTGGAGGGTGAACCAACGGCAAAGGAAGACCTTTCTCTCTGTCTCTCTCTCTCTCACTGTCCACTCTGCCTGTCAAAAAAAAAAAAAAAAAAAAGCTTATGAAGGGGTTGGCACTGTGGTGTAGTGGGTAAAGCTACCACCTGTAGAGCCGGCATCCCGTATGGTTGCCAGTTCGTGTCCCAGCCATTCCACTTCTGATCCAGCTCTCTGCTATGGCCTGGGAAAGCAGTAGAAGATGGGCACTAGCAGGAAGCTGGAGTTGGGAGCCAGAGTCAGATATCGAACTCAGATACTCTTAGGCATCTTAACCAGCACCCTAACCACAAGGCTAAAATTGTGCCCCTCCACAAACTTTTCAAAATCCCTGGGCCCCTGCACTCATGTGGGAGACCCAGAGGAAGCTCCTGGCTCCTGGCTTCCATTCTGTGCAGCTTGGGCTGTTGCAGCCATCTGAGGCATGAACTAGTGGATAGAAGACTCTCTCCCTCCCCCCACCTACCTAACCTACCTACCTCTGCCTCTCTGTAACCCTGCCTTTCAAATAAATAAATAAATCTTTAAAAACTTACGGAAAATGAAATTAAAAGATGCATTTGTTTTGATCCAAAAATTTTGAAATCCATTTTAAAAATTCATGGAAAATACTTAAGAAAAACCGCATGGATTTCAAAACTCTTGTACCAATATAAATTCCATTTTCCACAGGATTTGTAAAAGTTTATTTGATTTGTAGACACAGAGAGAGATGTAGAGACAGCTCTCATCCACTGGTTTGCTTCCCAAATGCCTACAATAACCCAGCCAGGAGATGGGAACTCCATCCAGTTCTCCAACGTATGTGGCAGGAACTCAACCACTTAAGTTACCACTGCTGTCTCCTAGGGTCTGCACTAGCAGGAAGCTGGAGTTGGGAGCCAGAGTCAGATAGCGAACTCGGGTACTCTTAGGCATCTTAACCAGCACCCTAACCACAAGGCTAAAATTGTGCCCCTCCACAAACTTCTCAAAGTATCCTTACTTATGAAAAAATAAACTGCTCCTGACTTTGCCATAGTTAAATAGGTAAATATAACTGGAAATTTTCCTACCTGATATATCTGCTTTATTCCTGCTTGTAAATTAAATCTGCCTAAATTATTTACATCACCCTAAATATCAGCTGAAGGATTCAGTTGAAAGATCTCTCAGAGATTCTATCCATAACGTCATGGAAGTGGATTGAGTACTCAAATTATTGAACTAGAATGTGGTTTGTAAGGACCTTTTTTTTCCCTCCCCTGAGGATGTCCTATAAATTGTCCTAAAACAGGTTAGAGTTCAAATTCACTTCCATTTTTATTAATACATTCTTTTTTGCTGTTGTTTTCCTGCTGGGATGTATTTACCTTTGGATGCAAACCAGAGCATTCATTTTGGAAGACTATCAGAGCTTATTAAATTCATGATTCTAGTTTGCTGCCATAGCTCCAAATGAATTTGAATGTCCTCTTTAGGAATTGTGTTCAGAAACTGGATCACAGTTTTAGGAAATGGCAACAGTGTTAATCTTAACAAATATGTTCTTTAAAGATTGAATTTATGATTCAATTTAGAATTTGTTCACAGTCAAATCAGGTAAGTGATATGATATAGGGTAGGTTTTTGTTGTTAGAGAAACAGTTAGGCATAATAATAAGATGTAAAACAAGCTCAAAATAATGAGCTTGTTTAAATAAGCATGTGTCTTCCAAGGACACTGCTTTGGAGACTCATACATGGTCATATGTGTTAGTTAAACATGTCAGCCTAGCAGCTACTTTTAGTTGCTATTTCTCTGTTTCTTTGAGTAAACCAGATGTTGTCTTTTCACCTTTCCCTTTCCATCCTGTCATAAATTTCCTATTGAGACAGGCTCAGTGTTCAATTGAATCAGATATTTTTATAGTACTATCATTTTACCATCATTGAGTTTTAAAAAATATAAGTATCTGGGCTGGCGTGTGATACACTGGTTTAAGCCACCACCTGCAATGCTGGAATCCTATATGAGCACCTGCTGAACACACCTGGGAAAGCAGTTGGAAGATGGTCTAAGTGCTTGAGCCCCTGCCACTGACATGAGAGACTCGAATGCAGTTCTAGGTTCCCTATTTTTTCTTGACCCAGCCCTGGCATTGCAACAGTTTGGGTGTGAGCCTCTGGGTGGAGGATCTCTGTGTAACTCTGCCTTACAAATAAATAAATAAATCTTTTAAATAGAGTACAAGTATCAAGACTAAATATTGGCATCAGTAAGATAGTAAGATTTTGAATCAAACAATTTCATTTGAATACCATCTTTACTACTTACTAGCTGTGTGACTTGAATAGTTATTTAATTAGTTAAAACTGTTTTCTAATCTGTAAAATAAGGATAAAAATAGTACCTATCTTAGAGAGTTGTCATGAATATCAAATAAGACAATAAATATGGGATTTGTGTATAATGCTGTACATGCAGTAAGTGATCAACAAGCACTACTTGTGATAATACCATGTTAGGCAGATAGTGAGGACTTTGAAATACTTAAAATGCAAAGAATCTTAAGTGTTTATAGGCATTGCTAGTAAAAATTGCAACATTAAAATAATTTAGCTAATTATGAGTTAATCATGGATAGTTAACATGAACTGATATTGGATATTTATCACCTTGTTTGG